TTCCTTCCTTCCTTCCTTCCTTCCTTCCTTCCTTCCTTCCTTCCTTCCTTCCTTCCTTCCTTCCTTCCTTAAATTTGTATGCCACCCATCTCCTCCAGAGGGTGACAACCATATTATTAACCACAAACAGTTTTAAGGATCATCTTTAGCTTCTTGCTAGAAAGGCTTAATTGGCTAATTGTCTGCTTTTGGTCACTGTTGTTACAGCTGTTTATGACTTACATGACTTGGTATGAGGCTATTTGAAATATCTCGTTCTCCCCAAAAGGCCTGACCGTTTAAAGACATCCAGAAAGTTGAATGCTTTTCAAAAAGACTGTAATATTGAAGCATCAAAGAATCCCTCTTTTTTGATAACAGCATAAAATAATTTATGAGATTTGTATCCCATTTTTCCTCCAAGAGCTCAAGTCAGTTTAGATTGGGGTTTATATTTTATCCTTGCAACAACATCCCTGTGAAGTGGATTGGGCTGAGAGAGAGAGTGACTGGTCCAAAGTTATTAAATAAATTCTTGTGGCTGAAGGTGAATTACAACTACAGGTATAGGGAGTCCAAACCTTAACCACTATATACCATGGCTTGTCTTTGGATAACAAAATACACATTTTATCTATATCTCCCCCTCTCTCTCCCTATCTCTATTGAGGTAGGATAGTAATTCAGCTTTCCCTGATCTCAAGCACTCTAGAACTATTTAGTCTGTGTTTCCTTGATGGCTCTACTGGCTGTAAATCCTGGAATTTGTACTTTCAACATACTGGAATGGTTGAACTGTTTAATGATCATAGTAGGCAGCATTCATAAACAAACTGCCTTGCAGAGCTGAAGCAGATTTTAATTGATACAAAATTTAATTCTGCAGGAGGTCTGTTAAGAATGACATTTCTCTTTCTGTGTGTGCACATATGTGTGTGTGTGTGTGTCTGTGTATATAATTCATATATCTCATTCATTCTTAGATTCTGTTTCTGAGAAATCTTTCAGATGTTGGAAATGAATTCTTTTTGTCTATTCTTCTTCATCTGCTACACATTAAGTTGAAACTCTGGGCATCTAGTCTTTTCCCAATAGCCTTTCATCTCTGGTGATGCCTGGGACCAATTAAAATCTTACTCTCCCTTAAATAATGGATGTGTATTGCCACATGCTGCAGATTTATCTGCCTGTGATTTTTGCTACTTCATTCATGATGGGGCAAGTGCTTAATTTGAATTTTTGCATCTAAATTACTCTAGAAGTTACCAATTTACTAAAGACATTAAATACCGTGCTTAGAATAATTAATAGCATGTAAATATTTCAAAATAGATAAATTGTGTAAAATATTTCTCTGCTACAGATCTCTCCTCACAAATATCTTAATTTAGTATTTAAAAATTATTTAAAACTACGCTGTCAAAAATTTTGGCACATGTAAAAAGATATGATAAAAAGAAAGATCATAAACAAAATCTCTCATCAATGTTAAGCTGAAAGAAATTATACTTAGCATCTGTTTATTGGGGCAGGTTTAATCAAGACTTCCCTTTCCGCATGGATTTTAACATTTCTTTTTTCTCTGAAAGACACAAGAATTCATTTTATCCAAAACACTTCAGGATTGGCAACAAAATATATGATTCTCCCTCTCCCTCCTTACTTCCTGTAATATATGGTGCCATATGTGCCCCACAAAAGCTTTCACTGACATTTTCCAGCCTGAGCTAAGGTTTACCATCTTTGTCCCTAATTTACTCTTTGTTGCTCTTTGAATCTGTTTTCTTCTGCCAGATGCTGTCTCCCCACCATTCCCTTTATAGAGAATCCTGTAGTTGAAGTAATACATTCTAATTAAAAAAAACAATCTTGCAAATCTGATAACATCTTTTGTTTGCGCTCTAAGAACCTCATTCTTCATCGATCATATAAATATACTAAAACTCCTATTTGTTTTGAAAAACAAGGCAGTTTTAGAAAACAATTGTACAAAATGATTTATTTTCTGCTACAATATATGCCCCTTCTATTTGTTGAAAATATTTGAAATACAAACTAGTTTTGAAATTTTCACTATTATGTACAATATAATTATAAGCCTAGTTAGAAACCACCAATCTAAGAGTATGCTTCTAATAATATTTGTTTCTTAAGTGGGATATTTTTTTAATGTTATGGAAATGTTGCCACAAGGTGACATTCCCTCCCCATTCTTTTATTATTCATTATGCCTGTGAATATGTCCCTCCTACCGACATTATGGAGAAACCAGCATGCAATCACAAAATAAAATATGGAAAATTAGAGGAGCATTTGCTGTGACTGCATTTTAGCACACTGTGGAGTGTGTGAAATCAGAAGGAAAAAATGAGCTCAATAAATACGATCTAAGTATCTTTAAAACTATTTCAATTAAATATTTTCATTGGAGAATTCTAAATACGTTTACTTCAAAGTCTGTTCCATTGATTTTGTGGGATTACTCCATAGTAAGTGTGCTCACAATTGCAATCTCAAGCTGACATAATGGCATTGATGTCTTTATCTCAACGTACAATTTATATTTTGCATTATATAGATTCAAAGTTCACTCCAGTAAAAAGAATGTAAAGTACCAGAGCTAGGAGATACTTCGGTCTGAGACATGGGAAAGCTACTGTCAATCATAGCAAACAGAGGAATTATTTGGCTTGTTATACAACAACTCATATGAACCTAAGACATCTAAGGCTGTGTACATTTATTTGATTTTTAGAAATGGCTGGCCACTGCTGTCTTCCTGGGGCTGAGAGAAAATGACTGGCCCAAAATCACCAAATTGGCTTTTGTGCCGAAGACAGGACTACAGCAAAGATCTCCCAGTTCCTAGTCCAGTGCCTAAACCACTAGACAAACTGGCTCTCAGTTTTAACCATATTCAGAAATAAAATCAATGAGATTTATTTCTATGTTGATGTATTTGGGCAGCAACATTATGTAATCTATCAAGGAGGATAATATAAAAATAAACTTTCTATTTGGAAGTCCTGTAGCCATTGTGATCAGCACCAGCCCTGTCTTCTCTGCTTTCCTTTTTTTTCTGTACTAGCCAAGTTCAAAAGAGGGTGAAGAAGAGAACGAGGAAAACATAAGAATGGCTAAAGCTCTGCATTTTATTTCTGTACCCATGAATGCTGGTATGTGTAGTTTTTAAAGTTACTCAATGACCAGAACTCCTCCTCCTCCTCCTCCTCCTCCTGCTCCTCCTCTTCTGCTGATTATTTATGAATTTGCTCAAAACTTCCACTGCCAATTCTGATAAATGTAATACAGCATTTTATACTTTTCAAGCACAGATATGGCCTTGTTTTTCACAATGAAATTCTCACCTCACTAGAATCCTCTTGCTGATTGATCACAGCTAGTGCATCTTCTGCAGCCTGTCGCTTGGCCTCTGCCACTGTGCGCTCCATTTTAGCTCTCTCTGAAGTAATCATATCATGGGCTTTCCGTTCTGCCTCTGACACTGCCTTCTGCAACTCAGTCATTGCTTGCCGTTTTACTTCATTGACTGCTTCCTCTGCAAACAAAGTAAGACATTTCCCTCAGTTCAGCAGGAACAAGATCAAAAGACGACTGATTTTATGTACAAATGTAGTTAGCTTGTGGAAGTTATAGATCTATATAATGTAAATATTCTATATTTGGGTAAATGTCCATAAATTCAATTTAATGGCACATCATATCAACCACTAAACAATACTTCCAGCTTTCTATTATACCTCTTTTGAGGTAATTCAAAAAGGTAAGTGTATAAGTGCCACAGCATCTCTGTGGAACTGTAGGAACCTCAGAATTGGGAAAACATTGCTTATTTTATTACCATATTAATATATACACTACATTAAAAAGCATGAAAAGCTTATGCACGAAATAGCAAGCAGAATTCACAAAGAAACAATGAAAAAGTATCTAAGCCATGTACACTATAGTATAGTCTATGTACTTGGTATTTTACCAAAATGTGATAGGCCCTTACAGTAAAAAAACTGATCTAAAAAAACATGAATTCAAAATTATAAACTGAAGGAAATGAACACTGTAACAAACAGGGGAAGAATTAGATCAGTTACATGTATGTTGGTTTAATTACAGGATGGTGCTGAAAATAAAAATAATGTAAAGGCTATTGTTGTTGTTGTTGTTTAGTCGTTAAGTCGTGTCCGACTCTTCGTGCCCCATGACCATATGTGCCAGGCCTTCCTGTCCTTCACTGCCTCCCCTGAGTTTGCTCAGTTTCATGCTCATTGCTTCAGTGATGCTATCTAACCATCTCATCCTCTGCCGTCCTCTTCTCCTTTTGCCTTCATCTT